TTATAAATTGATTATTAGCAATTTGATTACCAATTGAAGTTTTTAGAATCTATTCCTATCTCTAATTACAGCATTATAGCTAGAGATATTACCCAAACTATTTCAGCATTGTTTTAATACTTATAGCCATTTTTAGTTAGAATTCAGACTTTTGTAAAATCTAAATGCAATCCCAAATTCAAAATACTATCCCAAATCCCAAATACCTAAATTCTGATGATAAAATTTTTGCTTTTAATTTAATAAAGTATAATAATTATTTTAATAAATAATGATACCTCAAAAATATAATGATACTTCTAATTAATATAATGATACTTTTAATAAATGTAATATCACTTTTTAATTAATATAACTAATAACAATTCTTTTAATAATATTTGTCACGAATTATGATGAGATTTGGATAATAGTGAGATTAAGAACTCTTATTGGTTAGGAATAGGGTGATCTGCAAAATTTGTCTAATAGGATTTTCTAATCTTACTATTATCCAATCTCACTATAATTCACAACATTTATTATTGTTATATCATTATAGTTTAGGATTTTATTTCAACTAAGTCCTAAACTAGTTTCAGCTATTTGGGTTTGGTTATATGCCAAAACTATCAGGTTTAGGTGACTTCTCTAATTATGGTATTGTAGCATTATGGTATTATGGCTTTATAGCATTGCGGTATTGTAGTTTATAGTATTTACAGCAAAATTGCCATTTAGTACTGTAATAGCATTTTTTCTGAAAATCAATTATAGCAGCAACTATAGGTATTCAAGATAAGACGCAAGCTTATTAACATAAGAAATTTAGATTTATACTTAAGATATTCTTTAAATTTTAGTTTAGTTTGTTAAAGTGTATTTTGGTTTATTGATTATAGATATAAATTTGGGTTTACAGATAATAGGTTTAGTGCTCAGGTACTTTTTCTTCTCTATATATATCTATTTATTTATTATGCATATGTTTCAATATAATTATCAAAAATTAAGTATTAACAGTCAAAAATTAAGTATTAATAGTCAAAAATTAAGTATATTCTTTTTAATATGTTTATAATACAGTAAAAAATATATATATATTAAATTTTTATGATTATTATAAATTTGGGAGTGATTCTTCTACCCTTAATCCTAGTCAAGCACGAACTAAACTAATATGATCTCATCTACAATCTGATGATGAAAAAAGAATTGTTATTTGGATTTTTTTTGGTTTAGAGAGTCTGGTTCAGATATTTAACTCATGAGCATCATTTAGGTTTTGTCAGTGGATTATAGAAACTATTGATCCATGTATATCCCTTTCAACTCCATTCTCAAGATCACTATAAACCAAAGAAAAGTTTCACAAATGATGAAAAAAGGTACTATGAACAAAGTAAACAATACTGTACTGGATCTCTTGAGTTACTGAAAAATTTCTATAGAGAAGGAGACGTGAGGAAAAGGCAACAACTTGTCTAGGCCTAAGAGGTATTACGATCTGGAGTTGTGGAAAGCAAAGTTCACCTCCCTCAAAATTACCTAGAGTGACCAAACAATATAGACTATTTGAGTCATTATGTTCATCCTAATGATAATTGCTAGTTATGTTAAAATTAATAGTGATCATTTAGAAGATTCTAAAGAGTCGAAGTGCAAAGGGTCCTCACACTAACTTTTCTAGTTTTTCATATAGACTCCTATAAAATTCTCACACAAACTCATTAATAGAAGTTGTTAGTGGAGCAAGATTGCAAAATAAAGTATCAACTATTCTTGATGCTTGATATTATGGGTACTTGCAGTATTTGAACTAGTAAAAGAGTGAAGGTTGTTTTGTGTATATACACCAAAATGTTCTATGAAATTCTTTCAGAATTCATTACTATGGTGTGAGGGGTTATTTAAAGTATGAAAATAATAATAATTTACAGCATCTATTGCTTGCACAACTGCCTTTGAATTATTGAGTAATGCCAGATATATTAAGGTTTGCTCATCTGTATCAGTAATACATTCTGGCTTTACAATATACTGAAATTGTACTAATTCTTTTAGTAATTGAAGTTTACCTTGTACAGAAATTATCATTTAGGTCTTTTTTTTTCGAGAGATATATGAGGTTACTATATTTGAAGAATTTTGTTTTTTTTTTTTTTTTTTGTTATTAAGGTGGCTTATATTGCTGAAGGAATTTTATTAGAATTGTCAATAGGATTATACATTGATAATCCCTACTATTTGTAATTATATGAAGAGTATACAATAAGCCACATATACAACTTTAGTCATTATTTAATTTAAGTAGTCTGCTGCACAGACAATTAGACCACCTAATTGGTTCTATACTATACTGCTATACCTGTAACCCACCTGTGAGTTATCTATTTAAACACTCTATTCATTAACCCATACAGATCCAACCTAATATCATTGCAACATCTAACCGCTTAAGCTAGCTAGCTTGTTACGGATCTATTTATTCAGAATGGCTTAGATCCTATCGAATATATTGTACCTAACACATTGTAGATACCACAAAGCTAGTTAACCTTGAAGCATACCTACTAGAGTGGTCTATACCCATTTTACAGATTTACCTAGGCTATACCCTTGTAGATATTTGTACAACTCCAGTTCCTACTGTAGCTCTCTAGCAGTTTTCTGTATCTATCTTCTCAGATATTTCACAAGGCAGATCCTCCCAATCTAGTTAGTCACCAAGCCAAGTTGGTATTACTGATCCTTTATGTAGAACAGATTTATGTGTATTCAACTCGATCTGCATCTTTCATCAATAGTTTTCTTTCTGAATTAAGCATTAATATTTGAAGAATTTTGTAATTCTATATGATTTCGAATTTCTATAGCATATTTAAGTTTTTTCTACTTATATCGAAGATGCTGACACACATCTTTTCTTGTAAGTAGTTCTTCTATTTCTAACTATTATTTAAGAGAGAGCCACAATTGTTCATTCAGATTTTTGGTTTTAGACTTAAAATAATTGACCTTAATTATTTCATTATTAATAAGCACTAGAAACTCGAGTGGGATCTCAGGTAGCTCAATACTATTTAATACAGCTTCTTGAATTAATATTTCTATTAATAATTCTTCTGCTGAAACTTTTTCTTAGCTTTTAACTCCTTTTAACAATGCTATGCAATCAGATGGACAAAGAGAGACATTCTTCCACTCTTTTTTTATGTAAAATATTTTGTCTTGCGTACATAAACCTTGAGTTGTATATTGGGTTCGATGCTAATAATTAATAACATAAAAAAATAAAGATAAAATTATTAGTAAGCTTATTAATAGGTTTGGATAAATTTTTGGATTTATTCTCTTCTACCTAATATTTTTGCGAACTGGATTAGCCACCCTAACTAATTATTAGGTTATTAAAATAATAACCATATATCTGTTGAACCACAAATATACTCAGTAGAGGCTCTATCATTTCAATAGTAGAAATGAAATTTTTTGCATAACTGAGTATATTCAATAATAGCTCAGAAAAGATAACTGATTAACACAAAAACAATCATAATAGTAAGAAAAAAAAAATCTCAATAATTTTATAATTTTAAATAATATATACCTAGTTTGGATCAAAAGTAATATTATTAATTGTTAATTCTATAATTGGTATAGTAGGTATAGGCAGTGTTGTCAGTGGACATAGATATAAACATGGACCATCCATGGACATGGACGTCCATACCTATAGACAAACAAAAAGCTATGTCCATGTCCATAGACAAATGCTATATGTTTAGGAATTAATAAAATCAATCCATAAAATCAACGCCATTGCTGTCAATAAACATGAATATTAACTCAAATATGTTGTACGTCAAATTAAAATTTGCATATGATCAAAATTTAAATTGTAAATTTGATTAGAGTGGAAGTCTACGTTGGAGCAAGAGTGAAATTTAAGACATTAGGAATTTTTATAACAAAATTTTTTTAGCCAATTAGATTTCTTGCTGACCAGCCAATAGCATGCTTAGATAGTGGATATTGTCTATGGACATGTCTATAGACATATGTCCATGTTCAATTATTTTATTGGACATTTGTTCATGTACATTACTTACACAGAATGATCATGTGGACATGGACATTGTACATTGTCCATGGACATCTGTATCTAACGATTTGACTTGGACGTATGTCCATGTACATCACTAGGTATAGGCTCATTATGCTCTACTGGTAGGATTGAATTTTGTTCCTTTTTGAGTCTATGTTTTTTATTATAGTGAATATGACGTGACAACTTTTTGGTTGGCTTCTCTTGGGACATACTAACAGAGTTAGAATTTTCTTTTTCATTTTTACACTTCTTAACAGACACTTGTATTGTTTCTAAATTACTAATAGATTGAAAATTTTAGTGATATATAGCGAAGCTTGTAAGGCAGAGATATATTATGAAATATTATGAAACTAAATTATGGGTGCCTACACTGGGATGAAGTCCTTTTATTAAAAATGCGATTATATTATATGCTGCTATGCAACAATTTGCAAAAATAGTTGATATGACTATCGACAAAAAAAACATATGTAGTTTTATTTACGTTATAATAATAATCACTAGCAAACAATTACATGTTTGCTAAATTTAGCACCACAATTATTCAATACGAATTAACTAACAATCTCATATCGCTTTATTTGGTAATATAATAATTTAACATGATAATTGCTAACAGATAATTGTATAACAAATAATTGTATGTCAGCACGACAATTATAGAATACGACAAATTAACAACAATCACCTGTAACTTTGTTTACTTGCTATAATAATTGCTAATACGTAGTCAATTACATATTTACTAAATTTGGCATCACAATTATTGAACACGATATTAACACACTAAAAAAGCTCAATCATATTTGTGAAATATAAATTTGTGAGAATGTGATTTAATAATTGCGCCATAATTCAAATATTGCTAAAAAAAAAAAGGTGATCAAACATATTACGAAATTGATTGCATTTTATATATATTGTAAGGAGCAAAATTGCTAACCTCGATACTGCGCCCAGTTCAGAAGGTGATCATCAAAATTTTTGAAATTTCGAAAATTTCGAAAATTTCGAGAATTTTAAAAGTTTGGCAAATCGTAAAAATTAATTTTGTCACTCCTTGTAGATAGGGTTAGTATAGAAATGAAGGTTCGTTTAATGACTATACAATTACGGGTCAGTGCCTTGCCTTCATGTACCACACAGCTTTTTCCTAGAATCGTGCCTTAATTAATATTAAATGATTAATTGTAGCAGTGTAAAAAGCATAGTAACTTACAAACCCAGCTCAGGCTATAATACTTAATGTTTAACTGAATATCATACTCAAAAGTTACATTCGGCCCGTAAGGTCGAGCTACAAACTAAATTCAATACATTCAGCCAGTCAGGCCGAGCTATAGATAGGAGAAACCTAGATACAAAACACAGTTTAACCTCGTAAGAAGGAAGGGTGGGATATCGATAAAGCTAGACTCTCTTGAGTCGAACACAGCAAAGCAAAAAGACAAAAATAATTAGCTAGCGCATTACCAATATATATACAGGAAATTCAAGACGTCATAACCATCAGCACTATGACACAACAATGTGTAATACCTAAATTATTCATATAACACAGATACATTGTCGTGACCCTTGAACTGACTGGTTTGGCTCATGACAAAAAGGGCTACTCATGACTCCATCTCGAGTAGCCTACATTTTGTCACTCCTTGTAGATAGAGTTAGTATGGAAATGAAGGTTCGTTTAACAACTATACAATTACGGGACTTAAAGAGCATCGCCACTTAAATTTAATACCTAAATTCAAACATTATATTATTACTGTACTAATATGCTTGTTACAAATATTCTAAGCTACCTCCTCAAATAACCAAACTTATCCCTAGCTCAATCAGAAACACATTAGCTCTGATGCCTTAATCTGCATTGTAGCTATTGACCTCAAATAGAGTAGCACCGCTTTTGAGTCCCAACTGCCTATAGCTTTAATCTGAGTCAAGCTCATGCCTCTCTTCATAGCTGCTATAGCACCGCAATTCTTAAACTATGTGATGTAAAACGACTCTGAATGCCCGCATTCTCTGTCATTCACTTAATCAGTGAGGATATTGCTACTACTGTCATCTGCTTGCCAGTATTTGACAAGAACAAAGGCTCGTCTACTTGCGTTCTTGGTCTAACCTCTAGGTACTTTTTTAGTAAGCGCACTGAGCAAAACCTACTACCAATCCTCTCAACTGGAACAAATTTCCCATTAGCGAATGGATCATTCTTTGATCTTCTAATTTTTACCCATAACAGATTACTCCTATCCTCAATATCTTTTAATCTTAATAAACACAGCTCACCCAGCCTTCACATTGTTCGGAACTCTAGTGCCACCAAGGCTAGATCCCGCTGCCAAAAGATTGCATTAGCATATCTAGGTGGAGCATTATGATACCTTTTAAGAGCCTCTAAAGGAAAGAGGTCCCAAGGCCAAGGTGCATCCTGATCTTGAGCTCTAAGTAGTCTCAAACCCCTAAACGCCTCCTTAATTCTTAAATTTTCTGTTAAGTCCATACGACCAGTCCTTCTCCATCTTTTAGATAAGGTATTCAAGCAAGCTTGCACATGTGAACTTTGTCCTGACATATCCAACCAACCTATGAAGGCCATTAACATATCCACGTCTACTTGTTCTTCTGCCACCCCTGCTCATCTACAAAACTTCTTAAAATGGTCATATACCTTATTCAAACGGGATCTTTGAGAAGGGCCTACAGAATTAAGTGCAAGAGACTCAGCATGCATCAACAATTCCTTGACTATTCCACTTTTGCTGCAATTAATTTCCAATTTGGGTTTTGCAAGGCTCTCTCTAACCTGAAGGCCCAGGCAGAATAATCTTGGCAGCTAGCGAGAGACTTAACACCCTTTTCGGGAATAGCAAAAAGAGAGGCTACCATGATGCTAACTCCCAGACTGGCAGAATTAAAATTAGAGTAGCCTTGCATTCTAGACTGTGAACCAGAACTTTCTGAATAATCCCGAATGGAAGGCAAGCATAATTTATCTCCTTTCCCTAGTTCTGTGTAAAGGCGTCTATAGCCTCTGTTCCTGAGCAAAAGAAGAAACTGTTGAAGTGACACTTCTTTGTATTCAGATGGTCTGTGAACCTGTCTATTGTCACTTCCCCCATTGACTCTCTAACCACTGAAATATTTCGTCACTTAATCTCTAATCGTTTGTGTCTATATTCATTAACAGGTAGTCTGCTGGGTTTTCTGCACTTGAGATCCAATAAACCTTGTAAATCCAAATGTCGCTTTCTGTACAAAACTTATACAGACAGCGTGCTATGTCCTTCTGCCAAACCAAACTTCCTCCTTGTGTTACTGCTCTCTTTGCAACTATGTTGTTTACAAAAAACATTACCCACGAGTGTTCTATCAGATTTATGAAGGACCGGAGCACTTCTAATACTGCTAAACTTTCTAATTGTGCAGTCTCCATAGCCCTGCCTGGTCGGATCCAACTTCCTGCTATTTTGTTCTCCAAATATACTTCACACTATCCCCTTGTCGATGCTTCTACAAAGATCAGTTTTATTAAAGATGGCTTCCACGCTGGCTTTCCATTCCAATGCTCTAGGTTTTCGCTCAACTAGCATATGTCCTTCCTTACCTGAGCTGTCAAGGGAACAACCTCGTCCTACTACCAAATATCCTGATTCTGAGCATCTATTATGCTGTAAAATTCCAGGCATTTTACTTGAGCCAGCAGAAATGCTCATGAAAAGCTCTGAATTTTTCTAGCTATTGAGGCTAACTTCCTTACACTCACTTTCTGCAGCAACTTTAGAGACCCTAGCTCCTCCCTTATCAACTCCAGCTTTTTCTGTATAACTCGCACTTGGGCTAGGACCATATCTATCTCCAAACCCAAGTACCTTACCACCTGCATCTTATCCCATTGGCCTTTCTCTAAAGCTCTTATCTATTCGCAACTAGCTAAGTCTTTTGAAATCACTGTATTCCTGATCTCCAACAATGTCTTCCTGTCTAAGTGGGCTACCCAGACATCATCTAGGTAGTTTCCGCAGAAAATTCCTCTTGCCCTTCATGAACTGATGAGAGCTCTCATGATCTTTGAAAAGATCCATACTGCCTGTGAAAGACCGAAGGGTAGGACCACATAATGATACCATATCTTTCTCTGATTGAAACCCAAGAATCGCTGTGCCCAATCATCCATCCTTATATGATGATAACCATCCTTTAGATCGAAAATGATTATCCACAAATTCCGTCCGATCAACCTCAGGAACCCCCCTAAACCTTTGAAACGTATTGACTTCTTCGGCAAAGTCTTGTTCAGACGCCTTAAGTCCACCACTAGTCTGTACTTCTTTGGACCCTTTTTTGGAACCAGAAATACTAAGCTCACCTCTAACAGAAATGCTGGCCTTTCTTTTCCTTGACCCACCCAACGAATTGCACCCGAACTGCAAAATCTGCTTAACTCTTTCTCTAGCCATTTCGATTCCTCTTTTGTGAAACTGAATTGTCTTGGAACCACTTCCATTGACAGAGATTTTACACCTTTTGGAAATAACAGTATCCCTCTCTCCAACCAAACTATTACCAATGCCACTGGCTTTATAATTCTTTTCTAGTAGTCTACTGCCTCTTTTGTATGAACCTTCACTACAACAGACTGCACGACCCCTGGTTCCTCCACAACCTCTTGAGCTCCAATCTAAGCGTAGTCAACTTTCAGGCTTCGACTATGACTTCTGAAAGGCAAACCAGCCTTTTTTGGAGGGCAGTTAGTAGCAATGTGACCCTTTTCTTCACAAACATAGCAAATTATATTGCTTAACCTCTCTGTCTTCTTTTCAGTATCTCTTAGATCGAAGGGAACCGATTGTTGCTACATTGCTAGTAAATTAGCCCAGCTTTAACTGTTTGGCTGGTTACTCTGCACTGGTAGTTGCCCGCCAAAAAACTGTTGTGTCATTTGACCGTAGGGTGAGTACTGGCTTAACTGACTAGGTAGCTGCTGCTGAGGTACAGTTGTATGGTAAAATGCCATACTACTCTAATTCAGATATGGCCTCTGAGCTGGCTGCGTAAACTGAGCATAGAGGTTTAAGTGGGTCTGAGGAGTGAAGGGGTATGTTACTGAAGATGTGGCTACAGATGAGTAATCTGTTTTACGCTTTTTACTTCTTACTGATTGTCTCGCTAATATTAACTTCTCCTTAAGAGAAGCCTCTAGTAGATCTTCACTAGCTGGATCTTTCAAGGCCAACGCAACATTCCAGCCTTCTTTATTCGCTACTCGCAACATATATGCTCATATATAGGCTATTTCTCTAGCTCTAACAATTGGCTCTAATGACTTAGACAGCAGCACTTCATCTAACTCTCTCCTAATTTTCCTCTATTCATCATACTCAAACTGGTCCCTTGGTCTATCCATCTTAACTTCCAGCCAAAACTTATCCTCATCCCGATTACCAGCTGATTGCAAACTCGACTTCATTTCCTCTATTGCTTTCATTAATGTTGCTTGCAATGATTTCTCCAAAGATCTCTTTAACGACAAAAATCTTCTTTCTTCAAGAACCCTCTCTTCGGCTATATGGTTCTACAAGATGTTCTCCGGAGTATCATCAGCTACCCTTCTCGTCATTTCACCAAACTCAACAGACTGGTCAAAAACTCGTGCCTGATTGGACCTATGATTATTCCCTTTCAACCTATCCCTGGCCTGGTTGTCATGATCCTCATTTACTTGAAAACTATTAGATAACTCAACTGGCCCTTTCTCTTTCATTTTATTAGCTATTTTAAGTGCAAAACGATCTGCTAACTCCTTCTTGGATCCTGAAACAGATAGATCTTCTGTGTTACAAAGAACTCTCAAAGTGTCTAAGGTCAGTCTATCCAGACTATTCTTGAAAGTCGTATCAGTCGAATCTGGTTCCACCAGTGTATCACGTGTTGAAAGGTTCAGAACCTCCTCGAGTGGTTCCTCAAAACTCATATTAACTCACTTCGCAGCCAAGAGAACAGTAAAGTCACAATAAACAAGGTAAACGCGCTCGATGTTTGAAAATCTTTTCTTTGCAAAATGAAAAATAAGCTAAAAGCGAAACAACAAAGTTTATAACTTATATTTATTTAGAAACAAGGTTTATACTCTTAGTATTTAATAAGGAACAAATTTAACACTTGTATCGATAAAGCTGGACTCCCTTGAGTCGAGCACAGCAAAGCAAAAAGACAAAAATAATTAGCTAGCACATTACCAATATATATACAGGAAATTCATGACGTCATAACCATCAGCACTGTGACACGACAATGTGTATCACCTAAATTATTCATGTTACACAGATACATTGTCGTGACCCTTGAACTGACTGGTTTGGCTCGTGACAAAAAGGGCTACTCGAGACTCCGTCTCGAGTAGCCTACAATAAATTTCGGAAAACCAAGAAATTTGGGAAGATTACAAATTTCTCTAAAATTAAGAAATTTTAGTATTTTAGTAAATTTACGAAGTCCTGTA